CTTCGCAGATTAATTTCAGGGCAAAAGAAAGATGTTATTACTTCCTTTTTGATTTAGGGACAGTGCAGAATCCGTCATCGAGATGAAGGCCCGTCGGGAGGGCCTTCTCATTTTTGCCGCCGCCTGGCTTCTGACGTGTGAACGTTAGCATAAAATGATTTGAATACGCCCCGTCCCTGCCTCAGTTCATGGAGTCTCACTTCTGTTGTCTCAACAAGTTACGGAGCCTGAACGAACTTTTAATTTAATGGATAAGATGAATCTGCGAAACCGCATTAAGTGTGTTCATGTGTGACTGCGTTTTTGCTGACATTTCCAGACTCACGTTCATTAATATGTGAAATAAATTAAACTTACAAGGGCTTGTTGATATTTCATCTATTTTGCTGCTATCTTTGCTCACTATTGCAGTGCCTTAGTGTTAAATGAGTGTTAGTAAAGCTGCCTGTTTTCATCATGGGATCTTGAGGGACATTGATGTTATACTAATGTTTAAGACTAGTGATGTCCCTAAATGTAAATATTTGACTTCAGCTCATAACTCAAGTTATACAACTTGTTGAGGAGAAACATGCTTTTTTTCCTTCTTTTAAATAATCAGAAAGATTTTCATGTGGTGGATGATGAATGGGTTCAGGACAATGTTTAATGTTGAGATGTGTTTTAATTAATTTGGAAAAATGTTGAATATTTGGTGTGTATTTGTACTTTGTTTTGGCACTTTTTGTTATTTTTGTAAATAAAAATTAGATGCCATTTTTATTAGGAGTAGAAATTATTAAAATGAGGGAATACTATAAGTATTTACACAATTTTAAAGATATTTTGCTAAAAGATAAAAACTATGACTAAAATAAAAAAAAACTGTAAAAATGAACACTGAGCTTTTGATTTAATCAATGTCATATTCACATGATTCACATGAATTTAGCCAATTTTACTCTGAATCTGTATGATATTGCGAGTAATATTATGTATGTGTGTGTATAATATATAAATTGAATGTCAAAATATGGGCGGAATATGTAGTTATGTCAGAATATATGGACAAATTCTGAAGTTACCATGATGTTTATAAACCTTAAAGTGGGTTGTATGTTTGCTATGATTTGATCATTTTCTTCAGAATAATGTAGTTATTGTAATGAATTAAAAAAATGTTTTTGTCAAAAAACAAAAACTATGAATAAAAACAAAAAAGACTAAAAATGAACACTATAGGCCTTTCATTTAGTTAATAAGTCATGTTCACATTTGTCATTAACAAAATTTGAGTCAGTTTCACTGTGTATTCTCACTATTAACTAGTTGCTTATTAGCATGCCTATTATTAACATATTGGCTGTTTATTAGTGCATATTCTGCATGACCATATTCTACATCCCCAATCCTACCCAATACATAAACTTAACAGCTACCTTACTAACTATTAATAAGCAGCAAATTAGGAGTTTACTGAAGCAAAATTCGTAATTAATGGTTTGTAAATGGCAAGAATTGGATCTTAAAATAAAGTGTGACCCAATAATATATATATATATTTTTTTAATTAATAAATAAAATAAACCAAAAGGACAAAATGTACTTAGACATAGAAGTGGATGGCTTATTTTGGTTTGATTTTAAAAATGTAGTTTATCTTCTCTACTATAATGAAGTTTAAGTGTGTGCGAGCGTGTCCTGTTGTGCACTGATAACCTGCTTTTAAAAACAAACTTTCATCAGGTTTTGCTCATCAGGGTTAATGGAGCAATGACAGAATCATGTATTTCCGTCACACCTCCACCTCGGTGGCATCCTTTGGCCCTGGAATATGTTTTTCTTCACCGTCAATTACACAGTTGACTATAAAGTTTTCGAGCCCGAGCTCCTTGGGTTAAGTATGCAAATCACCCTATCTAGGTTGCAACGGTGAAAGTGACTCAAGGGCCAAAAGTCAGCCATGCACGTAGCTAAGGTTAGCATGATGCTTCAACTTCTCATCGCTCCGGCATTCTAATTACTCAGGCTATCTCTTCCCTCCGTCTGCGTTCTCCATCAATAACCTGCCATTTCTTAAACCAATGAGAGGACTTAAAATCAATATTTGCTGTCAACAAACAAATAGTGTAATCCCCTTTACTTTAAAGAGGAGCGTCTTTAGTTTCGCGGCCACTATTAAAAACTGAAAGGGCTGAATGATTTAAAAGATGTGTGATACCATCTCCATCAAAACAAATGACAATGAAAAATGAACGCTGGCCGGATGACAGCGAGGAATGGGGGGAAAAACAGCACATTTAAATATTTAAATGCACATCCGCCATAATGATAAATGACATCCGAAAACTAGAATCAAGCAGCTATTGATGCAGAAAATGAAATGGTGGGAGAGACAGACAGAGAGAGAGAGGGGAAGGGATGAAGAGCGAAATTAACTGAAAAAAGGTGTCGAATAGCATCACTTTCATCTTTTACTGTATGTTAGTCCAGCTTTCAAACAGAAATGTCACAATTCTGCTCAGCTAGTGTCGGAGTGACCTAATACAGTCAGTATCCCGTTAGACGTGAGCTGAAGGGGTGAAAATTGCTATCATACATGCCCACTATCCTCCTGAGGTGACAAATGAGAAGTCGCAAGTCTGTGGGAACAAATATAAAGGATTTAGAAGAAAAGAAATTGAAGTACAAAATCTTAGGATTTGATTTGTGTTCATGGTAATGGATGTTACATTACAGTTCTGGATACTATTGATATTCCTTGTTTAATTATATAAATATAAAAAACATTTACTTACTTTTCACCTAAATGTTACAATAAAAAAACGCTAAAAAAAAATCTAATTGCCGAGTAGACAGGAAGACACTTTACTGTGTACTTATACTGGACCCATATTTTACACAATTGTGAGTTGTTAACCTATATTTGAAATATTTATTCAATATATTTAAATAGAAAATGTTTCCCATTTGTTTACTTTTCTTTTAAATGCTTAATTAAAATGTTTACTGTAAAATGAAGGTAGGTATTTTTTGATAGGAGAAATTATTAAAATCATACTTTTCAGTAAATTGGATTAAGATTTATTGATATACACTGCTGTACAATTAATGCTTAAAAGTGCTAATTAATACTTTTATTCAGCAAGGATGCATTAAATTGAACAAAAGTGAGAGTAACGGCTTTTCTAATGTTACAAAAGATTTCTATTTTAGATAAATGCTGTTCCTTTGAACTTTCTGTTCATCTAAGGGGCCCTTTACACGACAACGTTTTCAGCCAAAAACGGGAAACTTTTTATGCGTTTTGCCTGTTCGTTTACACGACAACGGCGTTTTGGGGACTGAAAACGCATATTTTTGAAAATGGGTTTTAAAGTGCAAGTTTTTGAAAACGGCACCGTTGTCGTTTCCGTGTAAAACCCCAAAACGGGAATCTTTGAAAACGGTGACGTCATGCGCGTGCGTAATACGTGTTAGGTATGTAGACATGCGTAGTATGTGTCGATTTTAAAGGCAAGCGCGAACAAACATACACAACAATGGCTACGTTTACATGCACAATTTTTGGTTCAATCGGACTGAATTCATTCTGATTGATGAATCTGAATGTAGTGTTTACATGAACGCTAAATAAAGTGATCGGGTTGATGTGCGCGTTTATGTGACAAGCGCATTTGTTTTTAACAGCAGAATTAATATGTATCCATTTATGGATAAATATACATATAAACCGCTGTGCCGAGCTGCTCATATTTATCACGCAGTAAAAATGCCCCTCCCCGTGCCCAAAACGGGTTGCCTGTGGATGAGAATCCACAAAAAAAAAGGACTGGTGGGAGGTTGTCCTGCTCCACTTCACAGTTGCCGAGTGAAAGGAGAGTTTTATAATGACAGGACATGCATTTATACAACATTTTATTCAAAAGGAAGCACCGCTCGTTCTGCTCGCCATACATCATTACTCTATTTCTGCGCCATTGCACATGTGCAGACCTTTCAGTTTCGGAGTTCAATCCGATCGAGTGTTTATATGCACTCTCAATCATATTAGAAAAGGAATAAACCACCCCCTTCAATCCGATCGAAATTTCATTCCGATCGAGCTCAATCCGATCGAAATTTCATTCCGATCGAGCTCAATCCGATCGGATCCATCAATTCGATGACAAACGGATTATTTGGTTGCATGTAAACGTAGACAATGGCGGAATATATGGTGCTGTTGTTGCTGCTCAAGAGTTTGCTAATGCTTCTTCAGCAAAGTGTGGATTTACTTCACCAATATTACAACCAACAGCAGAGACGCATCATATACAACATATAATCGTCACTTCCCTACAGGTACTGTTTACTAACAAGGTGACAGCGCCAACTACTGGCCTGCCATATGTAATACAGCGTTTTTGGCCGTTTTTGCGGATATGTGTAAACACGAATCGTATTGAAAACATTGTCGTGTATACGTGAACCTTTTTAAAAACGCAAGGGAAAAACATTTCCGTTTTTGACTACACCGTTGTCGTGTAAAAAAAATAAAATGTATCACTGCTTTCAACATTGATAATAATGAGAAATGTTTATGAAATTAGAATGATTTCTGAAGCATCATGTGACACTGAAGACTGGAGTAATGATGCTGAAAATTAGCTTTGCATCACAGGAATGAATTTCATTGTAAGATAAATGAAAATAGAAAAGTGTTATTTTAAACTGTAATAGTATTTCATATTACTGTATTTTTGATCAAATAAATGCAGCCTTGGTGAGCTTAAGAGACATTAAGAGAAAAAAAACATTAAAAAAATGTTACCAACCCCGAACTTTTGTACTAAATATGCAGATCTTCTCTAAAAGGATTGTGTTTTAATTGTACAAAATTAAGCCCAACTATTCAAAGGGCTGAGAAAACACTGTACATATGTGTTTCGTGTCCTTGCTGTAATAAAACAGCAAAAGCCTATCCTAAGATTGATATGCATGCTTTTCTCACCCTCTGACTGCTTTATGTGCTTCTGCAGGGGAACAGTGTGGAGATGTCCTTGTGGCTTCCTAGGAAGATGCAGCTTCTGGGCTGGTCTGAATCTCTGAAGAGGAGCGGGACTGAACTTCCTGTGGACTTTGACCAGCGGCTGACGGCCCTCCGCAGCAAATGGGATCAACTCGAGGTTGGTCTCTCTCTGTTCAGCTCAATCCGATCGAAATTTCATTCCGATCGAGCTCAATCCGATCGGATCCATCAATTCGATGACAAACGGATTATTTGGTTGCATGTAAACGTAGACAATGGCGGAATATATGGTGCTGTTGTTGCTGCTCAAGAGTTTGCTAATGCTTCTTCAGCAAAGTGTGGATTTACTTCACCAATATTACAACCAACAGCAGAGACGCATCATATACAACATATAATCGTCACTTCCCTACAGGTACTGTTTACTAACAAGGTGACAGCGCCAACTACTGGCCTGCCATATGTAATACAGCGTTTTTGGCCGTTTTTGCGGATATGTGTAAACACGAATCGTATTGAAAACATTGTCGTGTATACGTGAACCTTTTTAAAAACGCAAGGGAAAAACATTTCCGTTTTTGACTACACCGTTGTCGTGTAAAAAAAATAAAATGTATCACTGCTTTCAACATTGATAATAATGAGAAATGTTTATGAAATTAGAATGATTTCTGAAGCATCATGTGACACTGAAGACTGGAGTAATGATGCTGAAAATTAGCTTTGCATCACAGGAATGAATTTCATTGTAAGATAAATGAAAATAGAAAAGTGTTATTTTAAACTGTAATAGTATTTCATATTACTGTATTTTTGATCAAATAAATGCAGCCTTGGTGAGCTTAAGAGACATTAAGAGAAAAAAAACATTAAAAAAATGTTACCAACCCCGAACTTTTGTACTAAATATGCAGATCTTCTCTAAAAGGATTGTGTTTTAATTGTACAAAATTAAGCCCAACTATTCAAAGGGCTGAGAAAACACTGTACATATGTGTTTCGTGTCCTTGCTGTAATAAAACAGCAAAAGCCTATCCTAAGATTGATATGCATGCTTTTCTCACCCTCTGACTGCTTTATGTGCTTCTGCAGGGGAACAGTGTGGAGATGTCCTTGTGGCTTCCTAGGAAGATGCAGCTTCTGGGCTGGTCTGAATCTCTGAAGAGGAGCGGGACTGAACTTCCTGTGGACTTTGACCAGCGGCTGACGGCCCTCCGCAGCAAATGGGATCAACTCGAGGTTGGTCTCTCTCTGTTCAGCCTACTATATGAACATGTTTTATCAAATACAATAAAGGAGTTACGAAACTCTTGAGTCCTGTTTGGGAAATCGCTATTAAAAACACAGAGCATCACATCAGTCAGGGGTCCCTTTGTGGAAAGACGTGCTTCCTGAACAGTCGGCTCTCAAAGTCAGCGCTGCTCTGACACAGGTGAGTGTCACACCTTGAGACTGATCTCTCCTTGATCCAGAGCTCCCTGCCGAGATGAGAGGAAACGGGCGGGTTGGGAAGATTTGGAGGAGAAAGAGACACAGAGAATGCAAGAAAAAGTTGGGAAGGCATTGTCAGAATAAAAATGCTACGAAAATGCATCTTAAAACACTTTTGTTTGAAAGCTTCCTTTACTTCAAATTGAAATATGTCAAAGTTACCCTGTTTTTAATGCTCTTTTGAACTACCATCAAAATTTCTCTCTGCTTTATGTTAACGTTTCTTCTATTTTTAAGCCATTTACTTGTACAAACTACTTCCTTGCTGGATAAGACACAGCTCATTCAGCACGTTTATGCAAAGCGACTTGCATTCATACACTGAAAAAAATACATTTGGTCTAAAAACAATTTTCATTAGTACATTGTTAGTACATTTCAGAAACGATTACAAAGTAACTTTAAGCAACACATTGAATTAAATGAAATTTGAGTGGAATTTTGAAGTAGAAAGACTGAAATAGTAATTTCTCCAATGATCTTTGTTGTAGTTACAAATGTTGAAGAGACTGGGGGGTCAGAAAGATTTTTTTTAATAAATTATTATTTTATTTAGCAAGGACATTATGACATTTATAATGTCAATAAATGATTTCTATTTAAAATAAATGCTGTTCTCTTGAACTTTCTATTCATCAAAGAATCCTGAAAAAACTATGCAGCAGATTCGTTCTGAATGAATCTCTTCCTAAATCGTCCCTCCCTAACATTTTCGTCTCGTTTTAATTCGTTGACGAAAATGTCAATACATTTTCGTCATAGTTTTTATCATTCAAAAAGCGTTTTAGTTCGTTATCGTCTCGTCGTTGGTGAAAAAAATAAACAGTTTTATAATGATGCAAAATATTTAAATTTCAAATATATGCTGTTCTCTTGAACTTTCTATTCATCAAAGAATCCTGAAAAACAAATGAATCATGGTTTTCACAAAAATATTAAGCAGCACAACTGTTTGATATCAATAAGAAGTGTTTTTTGAAAAAGCAAATCAGCATATTAAAATGATTTCTGAAGGACCATGTGACACTGGAGACTGGAGTAATGATGCTGAAATTCAGCTTTACCATCACAAAAATAAATTATATTTCAAAATATATTAAAATAGAAAAGAGTCATTTTAAATTGTAATAATATTTCACAGTATTACAGTTTTTGCTAATCAAATAAATGCAGCCTTGCCAATTTCTTTCAAAAACGTTACTAAAATCTTCACACTATGAGCTCTAATTGAGTTATAGTAAAACTGATCAACCTCCTAAACCATCTTAGACCAGCTGATGATCATAAATGACCAGCTTCTTACTTTTAGGAGCATTTTTACACTTTTATAACGGTGAAGCTCCACAACTCTTCACAGTGGGGTGATATTAAATAATTTATCTTCACTAATAAAGAGTAAACGCATACACCCACGTGGATATGCATCTGCAATGCTCCTCAAGATTGGCAAAACAGCCTTTGAACTGAAACATGAATTTTTTCGGAGAGTTTCAAAGTGTCAAACAAATCGCATCTTGCCTCCCTGTCGCAATCAAGCATTAATTAGAATTATCGAGAAGAGGACTATTCAGCGGCAAATGTTCTGACTGGCGTGAGTGGCGTCTCGTTAGGGCGTGTGCGACAGGAATAAAGCATCAGCGGTGCGGAGAGTTCAGTCTGAGCGCCGCTGCTCCCTGCACCGCGCATTATGCCGTCTCAATTGCATATTAAACAAGCCTATCAAGTCAGCCATTGGCATCTGCTGTGCTGACACAAATTGTGAATTAAATGAAATTGATGTCCCCTGTCGTATATATTTATGAAGACAGACCATTCTCTGAAGTATTCTGCTTATGAAGAATTTATGATTGCAAACTGTTCCCGAACAAAATAAAGTGGCAATAAATTCCTGTTTTTTTGCCGTGTGACCCTCCAAGGGCATTGACTTCACCTCCCACCGAGACATTTGTTACTCAGAGAAAACAATGGCTGGATCTGGATTCCATTGATGCCCATCAAATCATCTGTATTCAGAAGAGTGGAAAGGACAGCGAAATAAAAGGAGAGAGAGAGAGAGAGAGAGAGCGATAAACAGCGGCAATAGAGAGATTCTGTTCTCTGTCCATTAAACTGGACTTTTGCAAACTTATGTATCACTTTTCTTTAACATTTTCTCTTAATTAAACAGAATTAAATAGATTGTTTATTTTACTGTAACTTTACTGTATGAATTTTATATAAATTGCGATTAGTATTATGATGTCATTCATTAGGGAGAATAAGTTGCTGAATATAAAATGGGTCTTAATATGTAAATATGGGTAGTTATATCCAAATAGATTTTCCCCCCATAATTTTCCATTCATTTTTTTTTGTTATCATCATAGTATATGTCTGCATAATCCATCTTTTTTTTTTAATTGTTTAGTAAATATTACATTTGTTCCCTTTATGTCTGCTGAAGTAATTCAGTATGCAGTTTAAATATGCATGAAAAAAAATCCTGTTTTTCATTCTATTACCTATTGAAATGCATTAGAATATTATCTAAACTGGTAAAAGGCAACATGATGAAACAGCATGTGCAACCTAAATCTAAAATATTATGTATTTTCAAGTTAAAAAACAAAATGTTCAATACTGTTCAAGAGTTTAAGGTTGATAACATTTTTAATGTTTTTGAAAGAAGTCTTTTAGGCTCACCAAGGCTGCATTATTTGATCAAAAATACAGTAAAAGCAGTAATACTGTGAAATATTATTACAGTTTTAAAGAACTGTTTTCTATTTTAATATATTTTAAAATGTAATTTATTTGTGTTACTCCAGTCTTCAGTGTCACATGATCCTTCAGAAATCATTCTAATCTGCTGAATTGCTGCTCAACAAACATTTCTTATTATTATGAGTTTTGAAAACGGTTGTGCTGCTTCATATTTTTGTAGCAAATGTGATATGTTGTTTTCAGGATTTTTTTTTTTTTCATAAAAAGAAAGTTCAAAGCATTTGAACATTATAAATGTCTTAATTGTCAGTTTTTAACTATTTAATTCATTCTTACTAAATAAAAGTGTTAATTTCTTTCGAAAAACAAGAGCCTAAATCCATAGGGTGCAATTTTATCCTTCAGGAACTGATTTAATGGTAAAAAAGTGTCATAAGAATGGTAGTTCGAGGGGTTAAAAAGAGGGATTGGTGCTGTCAGCCTAAAAGGAAAGTAGTAGTAGAGCCGGGGAAGGTTATTCAATTTTAATGATTTTTTAAATAAATGTCATGTTGACTTGAACTGTGTGTATCTCTTTAAACTAAAGACAAGCATTTCACTCTGTTTTGTGTCAAAAGCAGCACTTTTTCACACACTAATGTCTCATAAAATCACTATGAGATCTGATTTTGCCTCAGTCAGCCCAGCAGAAAACCTCAACATTTGTTTTCGGCCAGAAGAACCCATTTTCACATTAAAGCTAAAATGTCCAGCCTTCTGTTTTCTTTGCTATTAACACTGTGCTGACAGGAGAGGAACACAGATGTGTTAATAAAGGCCGATCATGGGGGAGAAGCTCAGGCCGGATGAAATAGCCACTTCATTGCTGCGTCATAATCACATCTGTTTCCATTCCAGCTTCTCAACACACGGATCACATAAAGGAAAGGACAATTACAGCAGCCAGTGTGTGTATTAATTGGATAATGGTGTGTATTGTGCTTGCAATTGCCATCTCAGTATACAAGGTTCAACCTGTCTCTAAGAAGTGCGATTGCCAGGCAGGTGGGCATACACACAAACAAACAGAGGGGCACAAACACACACACACACGCACAGGCAGACTGCAGCTCAGCATGGTTCTCGCTTCTCTTGCTGTCAGTCGGGGAAAATTGTTCAGCGGAGCCCATTTCTAAAATCATTGGTGTGTTTTTTGCAGCTGATTGTTTGCTATTCAACAAACATTTGAATGTTGCTCTAAAATGCCATTTTGTGCGATGAGATTTTAACCCTTTCAGTCTCATCACCTGAAACCTGTTATCAGACACTTCAGGCGCGCAGCAGCCATGTGGAAACAGCAGTCATCACCACATCTCACTTTTTAATTAAACACAAATAACAGGTTAATCACTATGTGTAAAGCAGTTCCATACATTTAAGTTAGCCTGATGTATGAATGCATTTGGTCTTTAATGTGTTTGTATGTTTTGTGGATCCACATTTATGAATATTTATCATAGTTTAAATTTGTTTGTGAAAAGACCATAGGAAAAACAATGGACCTCAAATCATGAATATGTAAATGTGACTGTGATTTCTATAAAAACTGTTACTAGTTGTAAGCACTCCCCACTTTCATTTTATTTTATTTTATTTTATTATTTTATTCTATTTTGTTTTATTTTTTATTTCAATTAATATTTGATGTTATATTACATTTTTTGTGTTGTTAAGTTTTGTTGTTTTCTAAAGTTTTATTTTATATTGTTTAATATTTAATTAATATTTAATTGTATTACTTTTTTGATTTATTGTTTTTATTTAATTAATTATTATTATTTTTTTTGTGTGTGTTATTTAGTTTTATTGCTTTTCATATTTTTAGTTTATATTGTGTAATATTTTATATTTAAATAATACGTTTTTTTTTTCAATTAATATTTGATGTTATATTTTATTTTATTTTTTGTTTTGTTGTTTTCTACATTTTTATTTTATATTGTTTAATATTGAATTAATATTTAATTGTATTACTTTTTTGCTTTATTGTTTTTTTATTTTTTATTATTTATTTTTTGTGTTATTTAGTTTTATTGCTTTTCATTTTATATTGTGTAATATTTTATATTTAAATAATATTAAATATTTTATTTTTATTTTTGTATCATAGCAATGCCATGCTGTTCTTTAAAGATCCCTAGAAGATGAGCCTGAATCTACACTATTTTCACCAAAATGCCATTTTCATGACAGTTGGTGTTACTGTAGTAAAACTATGGTAAATTGAGATATTCTGTCCATGTTTGTGTTTATAGACTCTTATGTTTGACATCTCTGTTTGTGTCCAATCAGAAAACCCTGGCGGAGCATGTGGAGCCCAGTGTGGGCCAGCGGAGTCAGCGAGAACTTCTGTCTCCTGACACCAATAGGATGGTGACCCAGCTGGAGAGCCGGATAAAGGAGTTAAAGAGCTGGCTGAGAGAAACCGAGCTCTTCATCTTTAATCTGAATCTCAGACCAGAAGCACAACAATGTGAGAGCAGCACTCAAGACGCTGATGACCCACAACACGACCCGCAGGCCACCAAACAGCTGCAGCACTTCAAGGTGAGTATGAATATGAAGAGCTGCATGTCTGTCTGGAGTTTTCTATCTAGAGTTTGTCATCTTAGCAAATGCAATGGACTGTTGGCCTGTTTTACCACATGTTCAGATCACTGTTAGCAGATACTGCTAGTGAAAAAAAAAAGTGCATTTTTTGTTTTTTTTTTGCTTTTTGACGTTGCTTTGCAAAACGAACTTAATGCTCTCAGCTCCATTTTACACATTTTACTGTTTTTACATCCGTTCAACAGAATGGCATAATTGCATGATCTGAAAATTCCGCAGCCATTGGAAATCGGCTTCAGCCATTGAAAAGCCAGCCACTGGTCAGCCACTACTTATCAGTAACTAGCATAACACCTGTAAGCCTGCAGCTGTTCATTAGCCATCATAAACTGTGCTAACACTTTGCATTTTCAGTGCAGCTTTCACTAAACCATAATACACGCTTAAACTAGAGTACATGACGGCATCAGGTCAGGTAGTCTGAGTGTTTAGCATATACACAGAAATGAAACTGCTTAGTCAAACTGCAGAGCGCTCTCTAAAAATAACCTGTTTCACTTGAGCCGTGCTCCTTTAATAAATACAGGGCAAAAAGCACACATCAAATCCCCTGACTGAAAATCTATATGAAATAATTATTTGAGTTAAAATCCTGAGAAACAGCTTGGAGTATTAATCAAGACGTGTCAAAACACAGGTAGCGGAGCTGATTACATCCACCTGCTGAGTGACAAACATAAGTGAGGAAAAGCTCTAAATATACACAGGGCTAAATGATGAGGAGGGGAAATAAGGCTGGCTTTCTCTTTTGATCAAATGACACGCAGCCCAAAAGGCTCACATTGATTTCTCAGGGGAAGTCTGGAGAAAATAATAATACGATGATTGGAAATATTGGTAAGTGTGATTTATAATGGACTCTGCCATTGCACTAAAAGGGAGGAGTGTTTAGGAAGAGAAAGGAGAATGATTACATGTATCTAGTTCTTTTCGGACCACTTTTGAAGCGTGAATTGGCTAACTGGCGTGACGTGGCGTGATCACAGAGTGGTTGAAAGGCATCAGCGGGAGAGCTGAGATCTACACCTCTCTACATCTCACCAGCGTTCACAGTGCAGCTGAACTTAAACACAGCATCAAATGGCTTTTGCAGCCTGTTTTACTTCTGTAATCTGACATATTTTTGTAAAATAGTGTATTTAATGTGAAATAATGTGAGCCGGAACTTGATTTTATAGTTTGGATCGTGGAAGGTGTGTGAATACCTTTCATCATAGAAAAAGTAACAATCTAGTTTTATTATAAATAATAATAATAATAAAAAATAATTGTAATAATAATATTTATTATTATTTTAAATAATTATTAATAATACTTATAATAATAATAATAATTATTAGTAGTATTATTACGTATATATTATTATTGTCTATAAATAATAATAATATTTATAGAGATTATTATAATTAAATCATATTTATTTAAAAACGAATCTCTATATATTATCAAATATAACTAATAATAAAAATATTAACAACAACACTAATAATAATCATAAAAATAATAGTAATTGTTGTTATTATTATTGTTATTTATGGATTGTTATTTAAATGAATAGTATTCATTTATGTATTGTAATAATAATCTCTATCAATAATATATGCAAAAAATATTAACAACAACAACAACAATCATTATTATTATCATTATTTATAGATTATTTTTATTATTATTATTATTTATAGAAATTGTTATAAATAAATAATATTTATGTATTTTAACAATAATCTCTATAATAGTCTATACATAATAATGAAAACATTAACAACAACAATAATAATAATCATAAAATATTAACTATTATTATTATAGATTATTATTATTTAAATTAATAGTATTTATTTTAATAATAATCTCTATAAATAATCTGTGCAAAAAGATTAAAATATTAACAACAACAACAGCAACATTAATATTAGCATTTATTATTATTATTATTATTATTATTCAACTTTACATTTGCAGAAAAAAATGTGCACGTCTGCATATGCATGTGAAAACTAGACATACAAAAATTGGAAGAAGTAATGGTAACCATTTTTGTATACGTTACATTTTTTGTGCATGTGAGAAAATAAAAAAATAATAATTTGTATTTTTGAGTGTAATGGCTCTGAATATTTGTCATATTAAAGTAACATATTGTATTAAACCACTTACACTCATGGTTGTATGTGTGACAGCGATTTTACTGTAGTTAAGGGGCTGTTAGTCATTGTAACGTTTTGCTGTGATTGTTCACTGACATGTTATTTGTGTGCTAGTGATAGTTGTTTACTATGTCAGAAAGGGTCAGTGGTTTGAGATTGCCCCAGAAACTTTAGAAGCGTTTAGGATAATTCCATCCCATATTACTGCAGTTTAATTGAACCTCAGTTTTGGCAGGTGAAGAGTTTATCCATTTTCTGGGTTGTGTAAAATCTCACGGCTGGAGCTGCTGGAATGTGTGTCCAGATCCCTGATGCCAATAAAAGCCTGAAATATGTGTAAAAGGAGAGATAGTGAGACACTTCGTTATGAGTAACAGGTATGGTCACCCTTTAAAATGTCATCATAAAAATGTCCATCTTCCCCTGAATAAAAAGCATTAAGTTCTTTACTTGCTAGGGGGGTGTGGAGTCGTCTAAAATTAGACTATATTGTATTTTAACCTTCTCTGGTCAGACGGTTCAGAGTGGTTGGCTGCCAATTTCACTTCTTTCATTAATAACTGTCTTCCCTTTAATAGTGTGCCTTCATGATATTAAAACCCCAGGGTGACAGGTTGAATCCTGTCATCTCTCCTCTCCTGGACATTTCCTGTCAGGGAGAGGAGAGATGACAGGAACCGCATGCCAACTTCAGTCATTAGTTAACAATTGTTTTACTTACAGAACCTGTTGTATCCTGAGATGGAAATCTGAAGATTTGTTATCTCTATAAATAGAAGCTCTGTTTCAAAACCTAGTGAGCTTCCTACCTAGACGGCATTTAAGGCGTCAGGAATGTTATGCTTTCTTATATCTAACTTATTATTCATCAAAGGATCCTGAACAAAAATGCATCAGTTTCCACAAAAATATTAAGCAGCACAACTGTTTTCAACATTGATAATAATAAGAAAGCAGCAAATCAGCATATTACAATGATTTCTGAATGATCATGTGACACTGAAGACTGGAGTAATGATGCTGAAAATTCAGC